AGAATTGAGTTAAAATTGGCTAGAAGCTTTAATTCTATAGTTGATTTATATAGCTAAAATTGATTGGAAAAAGGCTTGGAGATCTATTTTGGGTATTGTTTCGATTTTACCCAGGACCCCCATATTGGCTCTACTAAAATCATATTTGGCATATAAAAGTAAAATTAATTTTTCCCAGCTGTTTCCCCCCTTTCTATTGCAAAGGTCCTATATATTCTAGGACTTAGAATTTTTTTACTGCTAAAAAATATTTGTTTCATCTTCTTTTAAATGTTACCGGTTTAATAAGATAATATAAACATCAATTACTATTAGTTGATTTAATACTAGTGTTAACTACCAATAATAATAAATAGCAAACTTCTTAAAAAAAAATATAAATTAGTATAACCAAATCTTTTTATAATTATAATTTTTAATTACTTAATAATTGTTCAAAAAAATATATATGTAATAAAAGTATCATTTTTATTTATGAAATAAAAATGATTTTTATATAAATAATTAGAAATTTGACAAATATATAATATTAAGTAGATAATAAAAAATCAGATTATATAATTAAAATATTTTTTTATTTAAATATTATCAAAATTTTGGTATAAAGTTATATTATATATTATAATAAATTTTTATTTTATGTAAGAAAAAAAAATTTTTTTTTACTAAATAATATTTGTATTACAATGTATTACAATGCCAACTTAGGAAAATATTATGAGCTGTTTTTCATTCTAAACTGTTTTAAAAAAGGGGATATTAACTAAACTGATTTATCAAATATACTAAATACTAAATGATTTTTTAAAATATCATTCAAAAAAAATCAAAAACTTATTTTTGACTTTTGTAATATAAAACCAGTCGTTCATTCATTTTAACTTTTTACCTTAATATCATCGTTTCTTCTTACAATATATTATGAAAAGAGAAAAATGGATGTAATCGTATTTGAGACGAATGATTTTCACGCCATAATGTGTGAAACTCTATTTAGCCATGTGATCAGGGGCGATTAAAAAAATATTATAAATATAATAGTTCCCCCAAAGAATTTTTGATTAAAGAAAAATGTTTGATATACTTGCACCACATCTTAAGGGTCTTACGGAAGACCTTAATGATGAAATTAAATATCAAAAATTTAAACATGGTATAAAAGATATTAAAGAATTTTTAGAAAAACTTGCTAATAGAGGAAAGGTTGATCCATTAAGTAGTAATTTTGCTCAATATCTTGACGAAAATGATAAATTAAAATATTTAAGATATGAATTTTCCATTCCTAAATCTCGTGATATTGTTAATGATAGCGTTGGTAAGTTATATAATATTTTAGAGAAAGATTCCTTCAATTGTTGAAATTAAAAGTAATAATTTTTGTAAATAAAGAGGCGAAAAGTCCTGAAGAAGAGTGCATGTATTTTTGTGGTAATTCACTTGGATTAATGCCAAAGCGTGCAAGAGAATTGATTAGTCAAGAACTTGACGTATGGGCTTCATCGTATATATCACTATTTTCATTAATTGTTAAATATGTAAATTTCTTTTTTAAATATTTAAAAAAAATTTATTAATTTTTTTATTTTTTTTCAAATGTATTAAGTGGAGTTGTTGGTCATTTTAAACATAAACATAATCGACCGTGGGTATCCATTGATGATACTTTAGTAGAAAAAATGGCAGATATTGTTGGTAAACTAATTATTTTTCATTTTTATTTTTCGAAACTTTTTAAAGTTAGTTACACCATATTTTTTTTTCTCTAGGAGCAAAACCTATTGAAATTGCTATTATGAATACTCTCACTTCGAATTTACATCTACTTATGGCATCATTTTATACGCCAAATATAAAAAAGACTCGTAAAAAGATTTTGATAGAACCAATGGCTTTTCCATCCGATCTTGTTAGTGCATATTTTAAAAATAGTTCTATTTAAATTTAAACAAAATATAATGTGTATTTAATCATTCTTGGTATAATATTAATAGTATGCAATAGAATCTCAAATTAAATTCCATGGATTAGATCCCGCTAAAGAATTGATCAAGGTGACACCACCTCAAGGAGAAAGTGTTGTACCACTTAATACCATTCTTGAGATTATTGAGAAAGAAGGTCATACCATTTCAATAGTATTGTTTAGTGGAATTCATTATTATACTGGGCAATTCTTTAAATTGAAAAAGATTACTCAAGCTGCTCAAAAGAAGGTATCAACTTGCTTTGGAAAATTTATTTTCTTTTATGTTTACATATTCTTTTTAAAATATTTATTTTTTATACACAATTTGTAGGGATGTATTGTGGGATTTGATTTATCTCATGCTGTTGGTAACGTTGTTCTCAAACTTCATAAATGGGGAGTTGATTTTGCAGCATGGTGTTCTTATAAATATTTGAATTCTGGGCCTGGAGGTATCGCTGGTATCTTTCTCCACGAAAAACACGCTACCAATTTCAATCGTCCAAGGTATGTATACCTTGACTTACATATGAAAACATTAAAAAAAATCTTATTAATCAAAATATGTGATTTCATTATAGATTGACAGGATGGTGGGGTTCGGAACGGAAATCAAGATTTAAAATGGATCAACGTGAGTAAAAAGTTGAATTTAGTTTGGTTCTATTAAACCATTCAAAAAAATTTAATATTATTTTTATTTTTATTTATTTCTCGAAAGAATTCAAGCCAATTCCTGGAGCAAGTGGATATCAATTATCTAATCCATCAGTATTGAACGTAGTATCATTATTGGCAAGTTTGGAAATATTTTCAAGAACGAGTATGGTGCATTTACGTGCTAAGTCTATATTACTTACAGGATATTTAGAATATTTATTAGATAAACAGTTAAATGGATTAGGATTTAAAATTATTACACCACGTGATCCACATCAAAGAGGATGTCAACTTTCATTAAAATTTTTTGAGCATAGCGTACAAGAAAAAGTCTCTAAAGAATTAATGAGTTACGGAGCAGTTGTTGACGAACGTAGCCCTGATACCATTAGAGTTGCACCAAATCCTATGTATAACAATTTTTCTGAAGTATTTCGATTTGTTAGTGCTCTTAAAGTTATTATAGGTGATATAGGAGTTAAAAGTTAAATCGCATCACGTGACTATCTGATAAAATACCTATTTATCTATTTTTAGTATTTTGAGATCAATTAGTCCAATAAAAATGAAACACGATATATAAATACAATAAATAAATTGTTTGACAATTAAACTCCCTTCATCCTATTTCTTACTTTTTTTTTTCTAATTTAACGAATACTTTGTCATAATAAAAAAAAAAATTACTTAGTAATAATTTCTACCTCTACTCATCAACAATAATGACATTAGTTAAAGCTGTATTTAGCGTCATAGGAATCTATGCGTGTTTTTTAACCTGGGGAGTATTACAAGAAAGAGTCTCGACAACACCATATGGAGAATTACGGTCAGATAGATTTCGATACTTCGTTTTCCTGAATATGATACAGTCATTAATGGCATCAATAGTAGCATTTGTATATTTATTAATCACAAGACAATCCATCTTTGATAATATTAGTTCAAAATTATACATAAAACTTATTCAAATATCATTTTTCGGTACGATTGGATCACCTTTTGGATATGAAAGTTTAAAACATATAGATTATCCAACCATGATTTTAGGGAAATCGTGTAAATTAGTACCAGTTATGTTGATGAGCAAAATTCTAAATAGAAAAACATTTCCTCCACATAAATATGTAGTGGTTTTCTTAATTACGGTTGGAGTGACTTCTTTCATGTTATTGCAACCAATCAGTGAAAAAAAGAAAACAATGGCCTCTAATTCATTTTATGGTATATTATTATTAACGATAAATTTGTTAATTGATGGTATAACAAATTCTAAGCAAGATCAAATTTTTGACAAGTTTAAAATCTCAGGACAACAAATGATGTTTTTTATGAATTTATTTTGTGGGTTATTAATGTTCATTTATTTAATATTGCCTATTAATCATGAACTTAATAATGCGATAGAATTTTGTATTAAATATCCAAAAGTGTTGGAAGATATATTGTTATTTTCTTTATGTGGAGCATTAGGGCAGTGTTTTATCTTTTTTACGTTGAAGAATTTCGGTTCATTATTCTTAGTTACTATAACAGTAACTCGAAAATTATTCACTATATTATTATCAATATTTTGGTTTGAACATCATTTAAACGTTGAACAATGGTTCGCCGTTTTACTTGTTTTTTTTGGTATTGGATTAGAAGCTTTTAACAAACAATCAGATAGTAGTAAGAAACAATTAGATAATATTAATAAGAAAAAACTGGTTGAAAAAACTTTATAATTATAAATTAAGAAGGATTTTATAAAATATTAAAATAATTATACTTTGCATTAGAATAATAATTAATATTAATAAAGATTATATTAAATTATAATAATAATTACATTCATATTAAATTTTAAAATTTTATTGTAATCGTTTTGTTATTTTTTATTTATATTAAAACAATAGAAATTTTACTTACAATTAAGATAATCTTTGTTTTTATATCATCCATCTGATGGCATGTCCAGAATATATGGCTTAAAGTAGTTGGCACATTTTTTCAAAATTTTACTGCAAAAACCATAAATTATATAAATTTTTACTATTTTGCCTATTAGTCTTTAGTTATCGCAAATTTGAAGTTTTAGATTATAATTATTAATTAAATAGATAAGCTAAATTATAAAGTTGTAAGAAGTGTATTTAAAGTTGATAGCTGAATCAAATCATTAATAACTGAGCTGTAACTGAGTTGCTGTTCAAAATTTGATATTATTATGAAATTTTTAATTAAATAAAACTTCAAATTTTAATCCAATGGGATAACTTTTTTTATGATGAAACTTATAATTATCAAATTTTTGCAATATTAATTAAATTTCTAAAATTTTTGTTAAATATTAAAGATATTAATAATACTATTATAGCTGCTAATTGCAAATGAGAGTTATGACTCATACAATGACTGAGTTGACTAAAAAATATCTAATGGCTGACTATACTGAATTCAGAATTTATTATGACTAATACTATTAAATATATCAATATTTAATATGCATTATTTGATAAATATAAAGTTATTTTAAATATTTTTCTAAAAATATTCATTGTCATTGGGAATAATTCTCTTGTTATGTTGTTAAGCTTAAACTGTTTATTGTTAAATTAATAAAGATTATTTGCTAGCAGAGAATTTAAGTGCGTTTAAACTATGAAAGAAATAAACACAAATAATTAAATTGAAGGATCAGGTCATTTTTATTGATATAGATTTAAAGAAGAATGAATTATTTTACAAGCAAAGATAATTTTAAAAGATAAAATACTATTGATTTATTAGAGAATTGGTAACGACTCTACCATTTATTGAGGCAAAAATACAAGATATTTATATAAAATACATCATTATGAAATAAATATTTAAGATAGTAAAGAAATATAAAAAATATAATAAAATAAAGAAATTAAATATATTAGAGAAATGTTTGAAATTAGAGTTCGCTAAAAAATTAGTGAAATAAGAGGAATCAGAGAAATGGTAGAAAGTTAAGAATAATGATTGTCAAGATTACTATTTGTCAATTATATTTAGCGTAATATCATGCGTCATAACAAGACTATTACTAACAACATTTTGGTCTAAGTTACTTTATTATGTCAAATAAGTTCCTTATTATTAGACTTTATAACCTCACATCTTATAAGTATCTAGAATGACTTGGAATTACTTCACTTAATTTTATAAACTTAAAGGTTTAGGGACTTAGGAGAAACTTAAAGAATTTATTTATTCTAAGTAACAAACTCAAAAGCAAGTTAGTGTCATCAAATCCTAGATAATAAATATATAGAAGAAAAAGTAATTATGTTTAAAGTTGATTTTTTGAAACTTGCAAAAGAGTTAATTTACAATTTGAGCAAAAAGCTATTCTATTTATACAAAATTAATTTGCTATGACTAACTAATTCCTATGCTATAACTAACTAAATCTATAATTATAAGTGCTAATATAATAATAATAATAAGAATAATAGAAATAATAAAAATAATAATAATAGTTTAAATAATATAAATAAGCGTTATAATAATTATCTGATTTATAAGGCTTATTAGGTGGATCTGGATCTGGTGAATCCTTAGAATTCAGAAAATCAGGAATTACGCAGATCTTCTAATTTGTAATCAACATAAATTAATTTCAGTAACATTTGTAAATCAATTTTTCAATGATAAATTTTATCATTAACACCATAATATTTTATAAAAAACTGAGATAATATATATTATTTAATGAATCTTTAGAATAATTATAAAATTAAATATTGAAGTAATATTTTTGTTAATACAACATTTTTTATTATGATTATAAAATTGTAATTTTATTCTTAACTTATTTGTAAATAAATTTATATTTTTTTATTTTTAATATATATAATAACTTCTAAAGTTATATATCATCTAATATTTTAACTTTAGCTTATTATCAATTTATACTAAAATATAATTTTATATTTACTTTAATTCTCAAATCTTAGAGAATTTCTAATAAAAATTTGAATGCAATTATTAATATCAAATTTACATATTTCACAATCAAAATAACATTCTTAATGAAATTTAAGTATTTTTAAGTAAACAGATTACTAAAAAAAACTAATTTTAGATTTTGAATCCTTTTAGTATAATAAGCTAAATTTATCTAAATCACAAGGATTATTCTATAATTAGTATAATCAATTTATATAATATAAGATAATTTTATAGATTAATTATTTTTATAGCTTATTGGAATCATAGCACTAAAGAAACTCATAATTTAGTATTAATTTTTTAGTAATCCACCTACTTAAAAATGCTTATCTAATAAAAAGATTATATTAATTATAAAATTATGTAAAATTGATATCAATAATTATACTTTCAAATTTTTATTAAATATTTTTTCAAGATTTAAAAATTAAAATAAATATATAATATTTTAATATAAGTAAATTATAAACTTTTAAAGTTAAAATATTAGGTAATATATTACTTTTGAAAACTATTATATATCTAGATATTTAATATCAAGTAGAAACTTTAGGATCTACTAGTTTAAGTTATATATTATTATTTGATAATTTAAAGTTGAATTGATTTTAAATTGAAAGAAATGTAAATAATATATATTAATCTCTTTAATTTACTTTAATATCATTTAAATTATAAAAATTATTTGCAATATAGATAATATTATTTAAATTATCTTTTGTTATACTTAATTATAAAGAATTATCTATATACAGTGGTTTCCTAAAGAAATATATCACTTTTACATTATATTTAAAGTACAAATTATAATTGCTAATATAATATATTTATATTTATTTTATAGGTTAAATCCTAAAGAATATTTTAAAAATAATTTTTTGCCTAATTAAAGTATAAGCTTAAATAAATTGTTTGATTTGTAAAATTATAAATATTCAACTTTTTATTTAAAAAGGTACAATAAAATGAATACTAAAATTCGATTTTCTTAGTAATTTTGAACTTATATTTCAAAAGTTGTAAAAATCAATTTAGTAGTTATAGAAAAATTAGCTTTTAAAAATTATATAAATCATTAAAAATCATCATTTTATATATATATAACATTATTTTTGGGATTTTTAAAAGCTGAATTTTATAATTACAAATTCAGAATCATTAAAAGAATCGAATTTTAGTATTCATTTTATTGTATTTTTCTATATAAAAAGTTGAATATTCATAGTTTTATAAGTCAGATAATTTATTTAAGTTTATGTTATGAATTAGATAAAAAAATTATAAACTCAGCAAAATATTAAATTTATCTTTAATTTAACTATTGTTAAGTATGTTAAAGTATGGAAGTAGTCAGTAAAAAAGGGAAAAATCCAGAATTTTTATTAATTTTTATATTAAATTAAATTTATGCATATGATCAAAATCAGTCAGATGATCCAATAATATAAATTTTAACTAAAATTTGAATTTTCACTTTTTTATTAACTACTTTCCATATGATTCTTTATAGTAAAATTTACTGAATT